CGTTCAATTACTGGCGACGTGTTCAATTTTTCGGTTCAAACTGGAGAAAGTGCATTTTTTTAAATGGCTATAGCTCACCACTAAGAACGCAAACTACTATTTTATATAATTTAAGATGTTCTTTAGTGTCCAAAGCAACAGTGGAAGGATTAAGTATATGATTATCTTGTTTCGGGATCACCAAGCGAAACTTTGAAATTGGAATCCGCTCAAGCGTTCAGTTACTGGTACCACTGCCCCATGTGCAAACTGAAGGCTTAGCTGATAATATTGTGAAAAAAAATGACTGTCTGATAATTTCAACGCCTACTAAGGATTTTTTTCTAAATAACTAAGGTTTGCCAAAGGGCCTATAATGAAAAATTCTGTTTACCTATACAAAAATCCAATATCGCGTTTATACGATAAAAAACGTTAATGATTGAGGACAAGAGTCGAAACGTCATATTGCAATTCTAATTATGCAGTAATGTAGAGGAGAAGAAGTGGTAATGTCACTTTTTTTTGTTCTTAAATCTCATATAAAATAAATTCAGGGAAAAATGAAAAAGTTTTTCTGAAAATTCGGTTTCTCTCGTCCATCTAACAAATTGTACAACGAAATGCCTGATGATTATGAGTTAATGCGAGACATCGGTTTATTCAAGAAAAAATGTCAGTATGGGTGAAAGGTATATCAAGGAGCATAATACATGATTCTATAGAAGGCAAGACACTATACATGTCACTTTCACAATCCAAGTGAAGTCACCGTTCTTAGAATAATTGCTCGCTTTTATTGTTTTATTGCATTTTATTATATTTTATTATATTTTACTATATTTTATTATATTCCATTATATTTTATTATATTTTATTTTAGTCAATTGTATGTTATACATTTATGTCTCATGTATGATGGACACTGCCATTTTAATTCTATTCTATGCTTGATATACTAAGTGACATATAAATCCGAACACCCAGTTTAAATCGTTTTATTTTAATATGAATGTATTTATCTTACTGTAAATAACAAGTGAAAAAATGTTCAGCCTTATCAGTTGGACATTCCGGTTTTTATACTGCTTTTTTTGATTCTTGACATCCTTTACGATCGGTTACGATGCCTAGAGTACGGAGTCCTGTACGATTTCGTCAACTTAGTGAGTTTTGATAGGGACCGTATAGTGGGACTTCGGGAAGCTGGACTTTCTTTTCGGGCAATTGCAGTTAGAGTGCAAAGAAGTGTAGTTGTACTGTGGTTAGGTGTTGTCAGGCATGGCTTCGAGAAGGCCATACGCAAAGAGCAAGGGGCACTGGACGCCGCCGTAGAACAACAGACCGTGAAGATCGCCGCCTAAGATTATTGGCCTTAAGGGACCGTTTCTCCACTACCAGGTCCATTGCAAATGAATGGTTTGCAGAACACGGAAGACCTATTGGCATGCGAAGTGTTTACCGACGAATGAGAAGTTTTGTCTTGTTTTCATACTGGCCACACTGGGTCTTCCCTTTAACTCGAGAACACCGACGTAATCGCCTTGAGTGGTGCAGACAACGGTCACTCTGGGATCAGGAATGGAACAGTATTGTCTTTAGTGACGAGTCTCGATTTTGTTTATTCATGCACGATGGTCACGCCAGGGTTAAAAGGCAACGTGGTGAAAGGAGGAATCCACAGTTTTTTGTTGAAAGACATGTTCATCACACTGTTGGAGTTATGGTTTGGGGTGCTATAGCTTATGGTTCCAGGTCACCTTTAATCTTCATCAGAGGTAACATGAACACGAAGTTCTAGAACCCCATCTTTCACCCTATCTTGACACCCTGGCAGATCCAACTTTCCAACAAGATAATGCCCGACCACATGTTGCAAGAGTCACAATAGACTTCTTTCAACATAATGATGTCACATTGTTACCATGGCCACCAAGATCTCCCGACTTATCCCCAATTGTGCACGTGTGGGATATGATGGGTAGGAGATTGCTCAATTTGCATCGTCCTCCTCAGACTCTAGAAGCACTTCGAGAGGAGTTGGTGGTTGCCTGGAATGAGATACCACAGGAGGACATTGACCACCTGATCAGAAGCATGCCTAGGCGCGTTGGAGAATGCGTAGCACATCAGGGTGCATCCACACATTATTAAAGGTCAAAGGGCTTTAAAGCAGTGCAATCATTTTGAAATTTTTATCATTTACTTATTATGCTTCATTAAGTACTTATACAAAATTTTATTAAAATAAAACCATTTAAAGTGGGTGTTCGGATTTATATGTCACTTAGTATATATCCTCGGCTTCATTGTTCACAACACAAATGCAACTACCAGTTTTGTAATGTCATTTTAGGTTTATTGTCTTTTACCATAGATGTACTCTTTTTTTAATGTTTAGTTTCTAATTCATGTTACTTATTATTGAATTCAGTTAAAGTGCCACAGTGTGAGTTGTAAGTTTTGTCGTTTCTGCCAGTGATCCTGTAATACGCAATTATGTCAGTGCGTGCGTTAGAAGCACATAGTGCATTAGCAAAAAGTACTTGAGAGGCTTTATTTATAACTGCGGATATATAATTGACAATAACGAGATGGCCACACACAAGATATTTCTTTCGTGGAATTACTTTTACTTGTCATTGATACTCCTTTGTGGCTACTATTCGTCGTTGCTTCTCAAGGCGGTCCGGAAGACCTTAGCCTTTAGGTCATAGTCACTGTAATGTCAGTGTCTCTCGTCAGTCTGTCAGGTCTGGTGGCTCAGAAACCAGACAAGTTGTAGCGGAAAGGGGAGAGGGAGAAAGAAAGAAGGAAGTAGGCGCGAACAGAGAGAGAAAAGGAATTGTTTTATGTAAATATTTGAGGTGTGATAGATCTAAGAACTGTTACATTGTACTATATAAATTATTGACTTGTCCTGAACTGAATTTTGGGTCTTTGGTTTTTAAAAACTATAATTTTTAAAGGTCTGAACATGAATTTAATTTTGTTCACAGTGTGAACTCCTTTGTGGCAACAATCTCTGAAGTTTACAATTTTATAATTTTATTTGGTAAATAAATTATTATTATTATCTCCGAAAAAAGGAATTGCCAAATTTTTGTATTTACCTAAATACGCAACAATGCATCCAGTTGAGCGACTTTGCATCTCGTACAAGTTCCGAGATTCCAATGGTGAACGTCGAATTTGAAACCCACGGTATATCTATTAGGCTAATGAACTTTAAAAAAGTTTCCTGTAGCCATCGCTTGTTGCGAGCTCCGTGTAAGCTTTTCTATAAATGAAACATTAATTAATTAATCCTGCCGTTCCATCTAAAAGTTTCCTCTTCATTCTTCCTTTATAAAATGTAAATTAAATCTCTAGGAATACAAATTAGGGCGCGAAAGAAAACTTTATTAATTCAACTCTAAGTGTGTTCCGATTTAATAATGCAGAAGCGGAGACAGTTTTGCAGCGAGAGATTCTGATTCCTTTTTATATGCTCGCTCTGATCTAGGCCAGTCGATGAAGAAACTTTATTGCAGAAAGGCCTCGCTTTATGTGTTTCTGCGTATTGTTTGGTCGGCAAAAATGGAGTTAACAACAAAGGATGTCTTCCGGTCATACCGGGCGACAATGGAAATTAGAAACACGATGTATTTTTTTGCAAATAAAGATATCGCTCCAAGATTAAGACATGTTTAGTTAGTCATTAAGAGGCATTTCTGGAAAGTTGCACGAGTTATATCTCCTTTTCGGTTTAACCGTAAGTGACATTGACTTCCGTTTTTCATATGGAAGCCTGTATATTTTCTCCTTGCAAAATTCCATTTCCTAGTGATGTTTCACAAGTGATATTTCCGTTTTAAAATGACTTCGCTATACAGGTACTTGTAAATAACCTAAAATAGGCCATATTGCTTACAAGACAAAACATATTTTAAACCTTTGATTCCCAAAGTGGCCTATATCGACCCCTAGGGGTCTATGACTACCTGCACGGGGTCTACGTCAGCGAAAAAAAAATTGGGGGTCCATGAAATGAATATGGGGGTCCACGATAGCGGATCTCAACACATACACTGATAGTACCTATTTACTTACATCATACTATCTTATAATATCAAAACATGTACATTATTTATAAAAGTACCTATGAAGTAAAAAATTTATTATATATGTTTATAAAATTGTGTAAGTTGTAGGATGTTGGTATTCGCTTTGTGGTCGCAATACATTTAGAACTTGTAAAAACCTGAGAGTCGCAGTCTCAGAGCTTCGCTACCTTGCACTGACTTGTTCAATTCGTCACTCTATAAATACGAATGTGGCACAAATACGTTTATTCGTTTCCTGAATCTTGAAAACGAAAGTGGTAAGAAAATATTTAAAAAAAAAAAACAGATAGTATATCACACAAATTATAGTGAGTCAGTATTATTTTGTTTGAGAGTGCTGGAGAAAAGTAAGTACATTATTTTTTATTATATTTTAGTTTTGTACTCGTAGTTAGCAAAGATAGATAAATTACGCCAATCATGACTTTAGTTATTAGTAGTTAAATATTCAATCATGCAAAATTACACGAGTACTCCTCAATAGTTTCTTTTTGAAAGTTTTAGCAATCGGTAATATAATTACAGTGCAATCTCCGTAATTCGAGCTAATTGTTGCAAGAAGATGTTCGAATTATGGAATGTTTTCGGAAAAATCAAAAAATATTTTTTATATACAGCTGCTGGGTTTTCTGTCTTATTTAAATAATTTAATTTTGCCCACAGATGACTGATGCCATGTCCGAATCTAAAAAGAAATCTAGACAGTACAGTGCTGATTATTTGAAATTTGGCTTCATTCCATCATTGCCGGACAAACAATCGCCTATATGTCTTTTATGCAACAAAGTTTTGGGCAATGACGCTATGAAACCATCTAAACTGCAAGATCATCTGAGAAGATGCCACCCTGATAAAACAGAGAAAGATTTGTAATACTTTCAAACACTCAAAGATAAATCTCAGAAGAGACCTACACTGGACAGAATGTTCGCTTCGACGTCACAAAGAAATGATGATGGTTTGCGGGCATATTACAATATCTCGTTACTTATAGCAAAATCCGGAAAACCGCATACTATCGGAGAGAAGTTAATTTTGCCAGCCGTTGAAGAGGTTTTAAAAACTGTTTTACACAAACCTGCATCTGATATCATTAAAAGAATTCCCTTAAGCAACAATACTGTTGAAAGACGTATTGATGAAATGAGTTCTGATATTGAAAGCTTCTTATGTAATTATTTGCAAACGACCCATTTCTCTATACAACTGGACGAGTCACTTTACCTGATAATGCAGCATTATTATTGGCATATGTTCGTTTTATTAGGAATCAAGAAATCTACGAAGAACTGCTCTTCGCAAGAACTTTGATAACCGACACTAAAGGTGAATCAGTATTTCATGTTTTGAAGGATTACTTCATTGAAAAAGCAATTCCTTTATCAAATATAATATCAGTAGCTACAGATGGAGCACCTGCCATGGTTGGACGTTATCGCGCATTTATAATCTATTTAAAACAAAATGTGTCAGGGGTGTTAGCAATACATTGCGTCATCCATCGACAACATTTAGTTGCTAAAAATTTGAGTGTTAGATTGCATTAATCACTTCATTTAGTTATTGATGCAGTAAACCGAATCCGAAGCAACGCGTTGAATACGCGGTTATTTGCGCAGTTGTGTGAAGAAAATGACGAACACTTTCATCAATTACTCCTTCACACTGAAGAACGCTGGCTGTCGAAAGGCTTATGTTTGACAAGATTTTTTGCAATTTTTGAGACCATTTTAGAATTTCTGGATACTAAAGATAAAATTTTAAAAGAAAATTTAATGAAGAGGAAAACAGACATCGCCTATTTAACAGATTTGTTTACAAAATTTAATATGGTTAATTTGCAATTACAAGGCGACAATTCAAATTTGATTAAAACAAAGTCCATCTTATCAGCGTTTCTTGCCAGAGTTAAACTAATGAAGCAAAATATTGGACGGGGCAAATTTTCTCAGTTCCCCAATTTGTCACAGACAAGCTGCCAGGAAGACGACGTTTCAACTTACGTTCAGCATTTAAATGCCCTCTATTCAGATTTTGAATATAGGTTTGAGGATATTTTGACTATGTTAATACCATCGTGGATAATTAATCCATATGGTGACATAGAAGAAACGAATGTCATAATACAAGAGGACCTGACTGAACTAAGTACAAACGAAGAACTTAAGGTTCAGTTTAAAAACGGATATCAGCAATTCTGGCTGCAAAACAACATACCCGTTACTTATCTCGTATTATGGAATATAGCGAGGAAATTTTTAATTTCCTTTCCATCATCATACCTAGTGGAAAGGGGGTTCAGCGCTGTTACCAATCTCCTAACGAAAAAAGAAACAGACTGGACATCATTAGCCGAGGAGATTTAAGATTAACCCTTACAAAATTGACGCCAAATGTTGATAATTTATTATTAAAGCATCAGGTTCATCCTTCTCACTAAAAATATTGACTTATTGCTTATGTTATTTTATTTATAGTTTATTTTATGTTTATTGGTGTCTGACCAATAAATGCCCGCATTGGGAATAAGTGCCCGCATTGATTTTTTTAAAGAACCCCCCTTTATAGAAAATATTTTTTTTCAAATTACTCTGAAAATTCAAGGGTAGGTACACACTAAAATTCGTTAATTTTTTTTTTTTATTTTATTCCTCTTATTTTTTTTCAATGCGGGCACTTATTTCCAATGCGGGCACTTATTGATCAGACACCTGTTTATTTAATGTTACGTATATTTTATATAACAGATACAAAATTTTATTTTGAGTAGTTTTAATTTAAATTCAATTAATAAATGTATAAATTAACATGTGTTTTTACTTTAAGTTTTTAATACTAAATTTCACTACAGTTAGAAATTTACAGGAAATCAGTATCAGGTAAGTAGGGGGTCTACCCAACACGGAAAAACATGGCAAGGGGTCTACGACACAAAAAAGTTTGGGGAACTCTGTTTTAAACCGTCAAGGTGGCCTCAGTCTCCGACCAGCCAAAACGAATGAAATGCGTTTTATCCCCGCTTTATGGGTAATTAATAAAAGCACAAACTGCATCGAAATCGAATGTTATTTTTTCCGTGAAAATTATAGCGGTTCGCCGATCGATTTTCGAGACATCTCTTTCTCTCTTGCACCCAACACCGGACTCCAATATTAATTTAATATATGGGCTGTTTGTTTTCATTTGGTCTCTAAATCGTTGTTTAATTATGAATTTCGTTCGAAACGTGTGCGGCACCGGTGGAGAGCGATTGTTATTGCAGGTATTTGCAGCTTGAATGTGACGAACGTGCGCTTGGGGAACATAGTAGGCGTGTTTATAAATCATAATTGTTTTTCCATCGGTGATTCAAAACTGCCGTCGTCTGTATCACCGAATTGCGAGAATGAATGAGCTACGTATAAACAGAAGAGTTCACCTTCGGGTGAGACGTGTACTTGAAACTATAATAATATTATTATTTTTTAATAAAATTTTGTATAAGTACTTAATGAAGCATAATAAGTAAATGATAAAAATTTCAAAATGATTGCACTGCTTTAAAGCCCTTTGACCTTTAATAATGTGTGGATGCACCCTGATGTGCTACGCATTCTCCAACGCGCCTAGGCATGCTTCTGATCAGGTGGTCAATGTCCTCCTGTGGTATCTCATTCCAGGCAACCACCAACTCCTCTCGAAGTGCTTCTAGAGTCTGAGGAGGACGTTGCAAATTGAGCAATCTCCTACCCATCATATCCCACACGTGCTCAATTGGGGATAAGTCGGGAGATCCTGGTGGCCATGGTAACAATGTGACATTGTTGAAAGGAGTCTATTGTGACACTTGCAACATGTGGTTGGGCATTATCTTGTTGGAAAGTTGGATCTGCCAGGGTGTCAAGATAGGGTAAAAGATGGGGTTCTAGAACTTCGTGGATATAACGCTGCGCGTTCATGTTACCTCTGATGAAGATTAAAGGTGACCTGGAACCATAAGCTATAGCACCCCAAACCATAACTCCAACAGTGTGATGAACATGTCTTTCAACAAAAAACTGTGGATTCATCCTTTCACCACGTCGCCTTCTAAACCTGGCACGACCATCGTGCATGCCTAAACAAAATCGAGACTCGTCACTAAAGACAATACGGTTCCATTCCTGATCCCAGAGTGACCGTTGTCTGCACCACTCAACGCGATTACGTCGGTGTTCTCGAGTTAAAGGGAGGACCCAGTGTGGCCGGTATGTCGGTAAACACTTCGCATGCCAATAGGTCTTCCGTATTCTGCAAACCATTCATTTGCAATGGACCTGGTAGTGGAGAAACGGTCCCTTAAGGCCAATAATCTTAGGCGGCGATCTTCACGGTCTGTTGTTCTACGGCGGCGTCCAGTGCCCCTTGCTCTTTGCGTATGGCCTTCTCGAAGCCATGCCTGACAACACCTAACCACAGTGTCTACACTTCTTTGCACTCTAACTGCAATTGCCCGAAAAAAAAGTCCAGCTTCCCGAAGTCCCACTATACGGTCCCTATCAAACTCACTAAGTTGACGAAATCGTACAGGTCTCCGTACTCTAGACATCGTAACCGATCGTAAAGGATGTCAAGAACCAAAATCCGCCAACGTTGATTCTTTACTGCGGCTGAAATATTCATTTTCAGAGCGTTAGTGAATTAAAAAAAAGCAGTATAAAAACCGGAATATCCAACTGATAAGGCTGAACATGTTTTCACTTGTTATTTACAGTAAGATAAATACATTCACCAACTTTCATTAAAATAAAACCATTTAAACTGGGTGTTCGGATTTATATGTCACTTAGTATAAATAAACAAAATACCTACATGTAATTACTAATTATATGCCTATTATTTCATCTAAAAAACGTAATATATTCAGTATATTGGCCACCGGGAGATTTATATTTTTGTAGGCAGGTAGTCATTATAATAGTAATTTTAAATACTCGTACGTTTGGAATCAATATTAGGTACGTCGTTTCAAAATTATTCCGCCACGTTGGTTTGATTGTGATGTAAAAAAGTCCCAATGGCCGATCTATGAACGCGTCTCCATACAATCAGCAATTTAGTAAATTAAATTAAAATGTTAACTGAACTATGTAAATATACAAACTTGCCTTTTAACAGTGTGACACGATAATTTGACATACTCAAACAGATTTCTCAACAAAACATGTACATCGATACGTCAAATTTTTCGCAAGTTTGTGGGAATGAATGTCACAGATACTCACCCGCGTCTGGTAGGTGTGACATGTCGAAACTTGTACAAACTGTGATTGACGACGCCGAAACAGCGGTTGACAGAATAAGTGAATATGTTATTTGATTTCTAATTTTATGCCTGTAAATTGAACATTACATCGTAATGCTATTTGTTTATTTTTTGTTCCTACCCCCCCCCCCCCATTGACATCTCTCTATGCCCCCTTGGGACGCAGCCCCCAGGTTGGGAACTCCTGGTCTACAAGGTCTTGGCTTCCATGTAGAGTTTTGAGCTGCCACTTGATAGACTTTTCTCCACCTGTGGTTATTGCAAGTTCTTTATCGGTATCGCTAAGTTTTAGTTTCTATTATTATCACACGTGAACCTGATCATGTCCGTCTGAAAAGCATACGCTTTGCTTCGAAATTGAACATTCCAATTCGACTCCTGAGGGGTGAGCGCGTTGCCGGGGTGAACGTATCCCATGTTGTGGCTCTTCAGCTAGGACGAAGAGTCGGCCATCAGCATCGAGTGGTTTTGATGGGTGGCGCGCATCCCGCGTGCGTTGCGCGATGCCGCCGACGCCGTTCGATAGCGACGTGGGCGCCGCGACGCTCAGTCACACGGGACGACGCTTGCCAATACAGGGACGGACCGGATCGCGCGCGGCCCACTCGCGATCGACTCGCCATTCAAACTTCACGTGCTGGATATTTGCCGTCTGTGTGGATGATACACGAACGTTGTCTACGCGGGATTGAAACCGTTGCGTGTCGTCGGTTGCTTTCTGAAAAGGTAAATTTTCGGTTCGCATGGAGTTAACCCCTAAAATTGAAAGCTCGCCAATTTTGGCCTGAGAAACAAGGTTTGGGATAAAATAATCTCAATATAGTCTTCAAGCTGTTGTAGAGCAAGATTTTGACTCTAAATTGGCGACCTCAACAACCGTCGAATTTTTAAGCGTTGAGTATACTCGCACGGTAACCCAGATCAGGTTTGTTTAAAAATGTTTTCTTAATAAACTATATTTTTTGTCCTGTCAAATTATTTTAGGTTTGTTTGAATTATTCTGAACAATACAGGCATGCATTAGCGTGTCTTTAAAGCTGACCATTTATGAGTTATAGTCGAATTTACGCCTGAAAAGCACTAAGAATGGGTGTATTCAATGCCTAAGAATTAAAATTGTTGTTTTGGAGGAAGCTAAGTATCTACATTGAAGCTTGAACCTACCTTTACAAGACCATGAAGAGCGTTTGGGGACTACATTACTTTAAAGCGATTTTTAACCTTGTCTGTTATGTCAAAATTGACGAACTTTTAATTTTCGTTGACTGTATTTAGATAAGAAGCTGTTTATAACGTACAAAATTGAGGGAATTATGATACATATCTATATATATATATATATATATATCTTCGTCCAATAAGTATTCTAGCTGGTCTCTCGAAATTGGTTGAAAAAATTATTGAAATACAATTAAGAACACATATTGACAGTCAAAGTATCCTTCCTGAAACACAGTCAGGTTTTCGTCCAGGATACAGTTGCACCACTGCACTTGCTGATGATCTGGGTGAGTCTACCGCTTTAATACTCAGATTTCAGCAAGGCATTTGACACAATCAACCATGATGTCTTGCTGTCTATCTTAAAGTCATGTGGATTGTCTACTGACAGCGTAAAACTTTTTAATTCATACTTAAGTTGCAGATCACAGTGTGTACAACTGAAGAATGAAATATCAAGTTCAAAGCCCACTACCACAGGTGTACCGCAAGGATCTATACTTGGACCATTGCTCTTCACTATATATACTAGTCAGTTCCTTAAATGTTTGGAATTCACACGTTTATACGGATGATACCCAGTTGTACTATTCTTTTCCTAGTTCAGATTGGCCAGCTGCCGAGTTGAAAATAAACAGTGACTTGACTAAGCTCTCTAAAAGATTGCAAGAGCATTCATTAATATTAAATCCAAATAAATCAGCTGCTGTGATCTTTGGTAAAGACCGTTCTTATGTGATTGAGAATTTAAATATAACCATAAATAATGTTAAATTAATATACTGTGATAAAGTTAAAAACTTAGGCTTAACAATGGATTATAATCTGAGGTTTCGTGAGCACATATCAAACTGTATCAAAAAATCTTATCTGGTTCTAAAATTATTGTATCCTCACCGAAATTTTCTCAATTTAGACATCAAAGGAATTCTTTGCGATACCTTGGTTTTATCACAGTTTTCGTACTGTGTTCCAATTTATTCTGCATGTTTAGATTGTGATACATTCACGCGAATACAGAGAACACAGAACTCATGCATACGTTTTATATATGGCATAAGAAAATTTGAAAGAGTTAGTCATAAGCTGAAAGACCTCCGGTGGTTAAATATGAAGGGTCGTTTTGAGATATTCACAATATGCTTTTATCATAAAATTTTAGCTCTCAGGCAGCCTCATTACCTCTACGAGAAAATAACATTCAGAAAAGACATCCATTCCATAAATATTCGTTCGAAACAAAACATTACCGCTCCATTCCACAGAACTAAATTTTATGAAAGATCATTTACGTATAATATACAGGGTGACTTTGAAGTTGAGTCATTAATTTTCAGATAATGATTGTAGAAGGAAGATAAACCAAAATATGTGTGTAAAAATAAAAAAAAAATGAAAAAAAATGTTACTTTGTTTTATAAAGTATCCTCCCGACAAGTATTTCAGTGCGGACCTGTATTTGATCGTGAGGTCTTGGAGCACCAGCACGCCGTCCCCTGTGAGGTCTTAAGACACCTGATTCACGAGCCCTTTGTACTACATTAACAAAGGCACGAGGGGTTGGTTGCACTCGATTGGGAAACCGATCCGCATAAACATGTGCCATTTTTCATTTCGTTTGAGCCACGCAACAGACACCACTATCCACTACTGACTGACACTGACTGTATACAATACAACTGAATGAAATAATTGTAAAAACATCGTTCCAAATTCTTTCGCTTTTTTGTTTCCGATGCGATGAACCGATAAGGCGGATTATATCCGTTGTTGCCAAACACGAGCACATAATATTATTATTGAGACAGGGCGGTACTCAAACTTCCAGAGGGCTATAACTTTGTTACTGTAATTTTACCACAAAAATGTTAAAGGAAAAAAACATTTCTTTTGATCAGATTTACTCACTGTTAAAATAAATGACTCAACTTCGAAGTCACCCTGTATATAAGCTATACAATCATATCCCCCAGTACCTCAAATCATATGAAATTCACAAGTTCAAAGCGGTTTTGCGTGATTCTTACCTTGAATGTATAAAGTAGAATTATTCTTACTGCGGAACTTCAACTTTATTTTGTTTGTATTCCATTATTTTATTTATATTTTTTTTCATATGATGCTCAATGTACGTATATGTATTTATATATCATTCTAGATTTTTAAATTTACCACCACGTTTTCTCTTTGCTCTTTTTTTTCAAACTTAATTGTCGCCCATATTGGCGTTTGTTTATGCGGTATGTATGGGTATATATATCTATAGATTATTCTAGACTTTCTTTTTTTTAAACACATTTCTCACTTTTCTATCTTATTTTTAAAAAAACTTACATGCTGTTCATATTGATGTTTGTATATGCTTGATGGATGTATTTACTGGCATAATGTTTCTTACAATTTCAAGGGATAAGTGGAAGAGCAGTAGATAGTGAACTCCCCCTTGTGATTTTCAGACAGTCGACATTTGTTTTATTTTCCTTTCTTTTGGTTAATACTCATGTTTCTGTTTCTGATTTTTTTTTGAGAACTGTTTGGAAATAAAGGCATTTATTATTATTATTATTATATGTTTTTAAACAATCTTACTATGAGATGAGATCTCCGTTTCCATAGATACAATAATACCTTGTAATGTAAATTCTTAAGTCAAGCATCCAGTGCATTTCATTCGTTTAATTCAGAAAATAATAGTTAGCCGCTGAAATGCCCGATGCCATACTTTTAGATGAGGGTTCTCATTACGGATCCGATTCATCAGCTTTAGCACGCATTCAAAGTTATCTTCGAGAAATGTTGTTTTCAATGGCTTCAAGTCGTACCAGTATGTCTTTAAATCGAGAGTGCCTCAGGGTTCATACCTTGGCCCTTTAATGTTTACCTCATTTATTGATGCTGTTGCGCAATTTTTAAGTTTAAATAATAAACTCCTCTTTGCGGATGATCTAAAATGATTCAGGATTATTGATTCTGAGGCTGATTGTATTGCACTTCAGCGGGGTATTGATGCTTTAATAGCCTGGTGTGATGAGAATAATTTATGTGAGACAAAATGTGACCATCACAAATTAATTAAGCATATCAGGATAAATTTTCAGTTATAGAACTTAAACATGAGGATCATCGATGTGGATCACACGCACTTACGTCGCCACATCACAATTTCTTCTTTTACAACCTGTCCTCGCCTACCTAAAGCTCAACTCATAAATAGTTATTTTTAAAACCCTCATAGAAGTTTTCGGAATACTTATGATATCAGCTGCAATTGTTTGTACGTTAGGCACCTCGTTTGGAAAAAAAGAATGTATGTGTCTGTGAATAGCATATTTAGTATCCTCATCTAGAACGATTTTCTTCCTGAGCCTCGAACCACCACCAGTCGTCGGATGTTCTTCTCGGTCAGTTGAACTTTTTCTACTGATTATCAGAAAAATTGTTCTTACTAGTTCTTTCGATCATATAGTTTATTTTAAGAAAGTTTATTTTTGAAATTTGGCAACTGTGGTTCTTCAGCAGCATAGACGAGTCACTGCCAAGAATTTCGTACTCAGACTGTAATGAATTTGATTTGAAAATGTTCACTGTATTCCTTCTATACAATTAATCCTTGCTGATCTGTTACAGACGTGCTTGCCATCACCAGTGCTACCCTAATGCTATCTAGAAGTGCGAGAATTTCGCGTCGATGTTCTTCTCTATGAGCATGCGCGCTCGCTGTCCGGTACCGCAACCGGGATACCGCTGACCAATCGGCGAGTCGGAAAAACGCCGCCAAAACGGCGTCGACGGCCGTCCCGGGTTCCGGAACTACCGCAGTCATCGAAGTGATACGCAGTGCGACTTTGAAACAACACGAGGGCGTTGGTCATGAGACGGCGTCAGCGCAAAAGTACCATCGGCAACTGCACACCTCCGCCGCTGAGCGAACTGTCGACAAGCAACAGGAGGAAACCATCGTGCCGGTAAGTGTATGTACTGCTGCGTGGCACCGCCTCTACGGGCAAAATTAGCGCGTTACCGAGGAATCTAAATTGCCAAGTACTCGTGTGTGGTGCTACCGATAGTTTAGTCGGATTGACTCATCGATGTTCACGTGAACATCACTTAACTACCAGTAGTCGGCTGTTCATAGGCGGGGAATGAATGTTTAACATGGGTGAACTAGATTTGTCACATGCTTAATAAAGAGTGGTTTGAAACATATTGTAAGTCAAACATTTGGGAATTACCTTTATTCGTCGTCGCTTCCACTTACATCTGACAGTAATAAACTGTCGCTATCGCTTTCCTCGTTGAAATTGACTATAACTGGCTCTATGATGGTGTCGACGTGGTGGTCAAGCTGCCCCATTTTTGTTTCTTCCTTCACAACATGACGGATAGCATTCTGCCAAGCTTCGGGCGTTACTAGCTGTATGGAAGTCTCAAGTAAAACCTTAACGTCTGGTAATTTGAAGGTTGTGTTAAGGCGCGCAATATAACCCTTCACTTGCGCCCAGATGAGCTCTATTGGGTTCAGTTCACAGTGGTAGGGCGGTTACCGCAGCACAGTGACACCACATTGACGGGTCATCTCATCAGTCACGTAACTAATGTTCGCAGGTTTGTGCTGTTTAATTTTTTCATACAATTCCGCTTTCACACATGAATCGTCAAACGGGATTCCTTTTTCGCGCAACCATTGCTGCATGTCACTTTTTCGAGATCCCATAGTCGGTACACGTTCGGCTCGGCGACTATGGTAGGAAGCATTATCCATGACGATCACAGAGTTGGGCTCAACTCGCTGAAGCACCCCTTGAAACCAGCTCTCGAAGCAGCTGGCATTCATTTCGTCATGGTAATCACCTCCTTTCTTAAAGACGAAAATCAAGTCACACTCTTCTAAAAAGCCACTATCGCTACCAATATGAGGTACGATCAATCTTTGACCTTTCCCTGACGGTCCACGAAGACCTGTTGACAAACCTTCAATGCTTGCTTGTCGGTTACTCACTACGTTTTTGTCTATCCAGGTTTTTTTAACTGTGTGACCTGCATTTACCCATTTCTCGTCCAAATAATAGATTTTTCTGCTTTGTCGCCTATATTCAATCATTTCGCGTAGGTATTTTCGACGCCAGGCGACTATTTCAGGTCACTCTATCAATACTGACTTCTGATTACGCGTTTCGTAACGAAAATTAATTTCGTGCAGGGATTTCCTCATTACCTCGACGCTCATTTGGGGTATAATTTCATTTTCCTTGATCGCTGAATGTACAACCTTGAGGGTTGGTATCTCATTCCTAAAGAAGAATGAATGTACGGTTCGCCTTAACGCCATTTTGCTATCGTCATCCAATTTAACGGCATTTCGTCCCTTCAAATTAAACTTTGGATCAGTAGTAGCTCCAGTTTTCTTCTTTTCATGCACCACCTTGCGAATGGTCCACTCTGGAACGCCTGTCATACTTTCACAATGCGCGAGTGCATCTCCCTGCGACATAGTTCTGTTCAGACAATTGAACACGTTGAGCACGATTTCTTTCGCGTCCCTCTTCAGTGCTTTACGAAGCCGTCTACTTGTTTCCTGGCTTTCAGTACTTCCACTCGTGCCATTTGTACTCTCCATGGTTAAGTATAACCAAAACAGTAACCACAGAAACCACAACAATAACAATTACACAACAATTCTTATAAAAACACACAATACGCGATCGCTCAACGAAACACGTTCCAATGCGTTGCCGACGCCTATGAGTCTGCCGGTCGCGGCGCGTCTTTGATTTCATTGGTTCTACCGGCGGAGAACAATCAGCCATTATTTCCATCTCTGTCTGTGCTGTTGACCACCGCAAAGCCACAGAAACTACATATGTCGTACGCTATACGGCTGTACTGGAAGGAAGCCGGGATCGAGCGCTGATCACGTGTTGATCACGCGTATGAGTCATTACAGTTTTAAATAGTTGTAGTATAAATGATTTGGTTGGTGAAGAGTGCGCAGATTACCCAACAACCAGCCGACGCTGATTTTATTCCAAAGGATACTATACGAGGGATGTCTTTTAAGTTTTGCATATGGAAATAAAACAACACGGTGGGTAGTTTTAAATGACTTTATTGGTTTTCGAAGTATTTTCCACGAAGATTAATACACATCTGCAAGGGCTCGAACCAATTTTCGAAGCACTTATTCCACTCGTTTGCTGGCAGATCCAAAACGTCATTTTTGAATGCGTCAACTGCTTCTTCTGGACACTGGAACCTTTGACCACGCACTCTGTTTTTAATTTTCGGGAAAGTAAAGAAATCGTTAGGACTTAGATCGGGACTATAGATAGATAGATAGTCTTTATTGTCCTTTGGTCATAAATATCTATGACATAAGACTTGTCAACATTACATATACAATACATAAGTATGCGATATGCAAAAAAGAACAGGTAGTTAATTAAAACAGTAATTGAGATAATAAATAATAAACAAATAAATAAATAAAATAGGAGTCATTACAAACACAAACAAATTCTTAATGACATCTAACGAACATGAAAAAAAATCTATTTTAAATAAATAAAAACAATTGAGCACTTAAAATGTCTAGAAGAGGAGCAATAAATAGACTGTTTCTTTTCCGTTAAGCTTGATAAATACATAAAAAGAATAAATAAATAAAATTAAGCAGTTAGGTATTCGTCGACGGTGTAGTAACACTTTTCTGATAGATATCTTCTCAGACGTTTCATTAATGTCAACATATTAGTGCTTCTGCGGAACTCAATTGGTAGTTTATTGTAAATTTTTGTACAGGCATAGAGTGGTGATTTCTGAAACTGGGCTGTTGCGTGGACTGGTATACTTAAGTCAAAACCTATTCTAGTGTTGTAGTGCCTGTTAACTGTGCTGTTTTGAATAAAACTGGTCCTATGTTTAAATGCGAAGAGAGCGCATTTATATATATATATATATGTATATATAGATGGATATTAATGTTAGCAGATTATATGTTCTGAAAATATCTTTACAAGAGTCTCTTTTGTTGATATTGAAAATCAGCCTGGGTACTCTTTTCTGCAAGATGAAGACTCTGTTGTTCATGACTGCTTGTCCCCATAGTATTATATTATTGCTAAAATGCGGGTAAGCCAAGGCGTAGTAGATATCTATAAGAGCTGTTTGGGAGATGCTTTGTTTGAGTTTCAAGATTGCAAAGTATGCACTATTGAGTTTCTTAATGACATATGGAGGATGATCCAATAATTCCACGTTATCTTCCGTTAAATACTGCCTTGTTTTTTGGGGTGTGTGCGAGCTTGCATTGTCTTGGTGGAGGATGATTCTTCTTTCGGGGTTAATTTTTCGAAGCTCGGTGATGACTTTTGGTAAACAAATGGAATTATACCAATCCGCGGTAACAGTTCTTTGCTCATTAAGAGGAATTGTTGCAATATGACCCGCTTTTGACACAAATGTCGCGACCATCTTTTTCGAAACGCTTCGAGAACGGATGACTTTTGTTAGCTTTTCTTCACCTTGGAACTTCCAAACAGCCGACTGTCGTTTATTTTCTGGTTCATAACAGTAGATCCACGATTGATGACCACTAACAATGCTGTACACCTTTTTTGAGTTTCCGGAATTATGGCGCGAAAATGTTCTCGGTTGAGTTCCATTTTTCTAATGACTTGGTGACACTTGAAAATTCACTGTAGTGAGAACACTGCACGTATTGTTGTGAGACTTTGAATTTAAGTTTACTAAAGAGTGAGGTTAAGATTCAGCACTGACGTTCGATCCGCCCGGCCTACTATGTTTCTATATGCGGAACTTAAAAGACATCCCTCGTAGAATTACATGTATAGATACCCACCTGCGCAAACTTACAGATTTTTTAAGGTGAGGCACTTAACGTAGCAAGCTGAAATTTTCAGGGTTTATACAACATGAATTGAAATAGTTTTTACAATAAAATGAATAATGGAATACAACTTTATTTCTTTTACTACACTCCATAGTTGAGTGATGGAAGAGATTGTTCACAAAAAAATGAATTTAAGATTTTTTGCGTTGATTTCTTAATAGCTCTGTTAAAAAGTGATATAACCATGGTTTAGAACTAACCATTTATCTAGTCCTAAACCTAGTGCTTTATTTGTAATTGCGATTGAAGGTTCATTATCTCGTTTTTTTAAATTTCGCAAAATTGCAAATAATTCCTGTACTATAACCTGACTTCCGTTGATCCACTACTAACTTTACACCCTGTATATACTGACTGTAAAAAGAAAACGAAACTTAGTAAATAATGTCCCTTTAATGGTAATTATCTAAGAAATATAAGATACAAACAAAGTAGTGATTTATTTGTCGAATAAGAAACAGGTTTTGAAATCCAAACATCGCTTCCCTACTAAATTTCAACTTCAACGTTTGACCGATCGCAATAACACTTATTTTTTCGGTTGTTAGAGTCAAACTGAAAAAAATAGTTGGTAACCATGCGCGTCAGTGATAGCCAGTCTCACCTTCATCATGTAGCAAGTGGAGTTCCTCAAGGCTCTGTCTTGGGGCCAGTGCTGTTCCTTCTGTATACAAGTGACCTGCCCGCATTGGTTTCCTCCACATGTTCAGCTTATGCCGACGACACCAAGATTTACAATACTGTACATATTGTTTGTCAATGGTCAGTCAGTTGGCTTTTACCCTTAAATCTAACAAAGTGTTGTGTTCTTCACCTCGGGAAGGCAAATCCGCGATTTACATACAAGATCTCTGACCACAACATCGAAGCAGTGTTTCCAGCCACACTGATCTGGGCGTTGTAGTCAACGATCGCCTTTCCTGGTCAGAGCATATTCACCACGTTACATCAAAAGCCAAGAAACTTCTATACATGCTGGAGGCTGGAGAGGATCCCATGTCAACACTTGCGCCTACATTTACAAGACATTCGTGAGGCCAATTCTTGAATTCGCTGGCCCGGTATGGGACACTGTGCTTCTGCGCGATAGAAATCTCGTCGAATCAGTACAGCGTCGGGCTACTCGTATCCCTTTTGGAGCACGAAGACCAAGATATGAAGATCGCATTGAATTATTCAACCTGACCTCATTCTCTGAGCGAAGACTTCGTGGCGATCCTATAGTTACGTTCAGGATACTTCATGGTTTGATGGGCACCAACCTCATGCATCTATACAGTCTGTCGCGCAGCAATCTACGCGGACACAGCTTCAAACTGCATAAGGAGCCATTTAAAACAACAGTCCGACAGTGGTTTCTTCCCAACCGCATATTCAACACCTGGAATAGTTTACCTGAAAGTGTGGTTGGTGCTACTTCAGTTAATAGCTGGAGGAGTGTACAAACTTCATAGCTATGAACTGTCTTTATTTATTTTTTTCTATTTGATGTATTTGTGTTACGTGTCCGTACACTATATTTACTGCATGAGCTTATAGTACTGTGTACTCTGCTCATCGCAATTATCATAATAATAATAATAATAATAATAACCATCACATACCCGTCAATACTACTAAGTCCGCTGTTCCTTAAGCATCAACTGAATATTTTTGTCACATACTCTTTCCTCTTTTCTGTTGCTGCAACCGCGTTAAATCCGTCAGATTCTCACGAACACACCTCGTACGCGCGCCCTCAGATTGCGGTGTTTGGTGCAAGCGCATTTACAATTATTTTGATCGAAAAATCTAATATCTGGGGTACCTCCGCTGTGTGGCACGACCGTGGAATGCGAAATTCAATAACAAAGCAGATGCACATACCGCATGCATATATGTATACACCTATGATAAATGTATGTGTATATGAAATGTTTGTAGTACGTCAAAACGCGAGAGATGTGCAGCTCCCCATATTCACCCGCTCCACCATTTGCAATTTATATTTCTCTATTTACATATGTATATTATAAAGCATATTTGTGTAAGGGTTGCGCTGAATTTTCGGTATTTACAAATGATATTTCGTTTGTTATTTTAAACTCAACCCATACATCCAAGAAAAACTATATTTCCAACGGCAATACTAGCTCATAACTATTCAGATGCCTGTCGTTTTACATTAAGCATAGCTTAGACCGAAGCTCGAAACTTAGGGGAAAGTAAGGCAAAACGACACCATAAGGTAGAACAGAACAGTCTTTTATTTTTGAAAATACTCTTGCTTTCGGTCAGTGCTTCTGAAGCTGCTTTGGACCACAAGGTAAGTAGTTAAAAAACGGGAATTTCGTTCAGTTGTCCCTTTTATCTAGTCTTCCAAATCACTAACTTAGTTTGTTCATATTAGTCACTGATAGGTATTGTTTGTTTTGAAAATGGCTTTCATCAGATCGGTGAAACCATGGCCTCAAAATTATAGTTTGTTTCCATAGCTAACCAAAACGCAAAACGGACTGGGCCAAATGGATTCTTACTCTTTAACATTTGGGGATGCATTGCAGTCTTCTTTTATAACGACTAATAAAAAATTGGTAAATGATAATGCGCAACCATCAGCAACTAGCGATAAACCACAGCCAATCTGAAATCAACAAAATACCAATCATTGATGATCCTCAGCCATCAAAGTTTAAAATTCAGCCAGAATTCTATCCACCAATGACAAGAAAAACGCTAATCAGTGATGATGAACATCAAATCTCACTAAGAGAAGATTTTTCACCCCCAATGGAGTCTAATGTAACGGCAATGAATGTTCATTGGAGAATCAACGTTTGTTCGTTGTTAGTCCAAAAGACGTTATGCCATTTCCAAAAACTTCAAAAACGAAGAGATCGAATGTTAAACGGGGATAAACAGTCATATTGACTTCATCCCCCCTACCGTAAAGAGTCAACATAAAACATTAAAGTGAATCAGATCAAAAGAAAACTAGCTTTGGACGATACAAAACAAAATTTCAAGAAAAGCTTGCATTTATACTAAGTGACATATGAATCCGAACACCCAGTTTAAATGGTTTTATTTTTAATAAAATTTTGTATAAGTACTTAATGAAGCATAATAAGTAAATGATAAAAATTTCAAAATGTTTGCACTGCTTTAAAGCCCTTCGACCTTTAATAATGTGTGGATGAACCCTGATGTGCTACGCATTCTCCAACGCGCCTAGGCATGCTTCTGATCAGGTGGTCAATGTCCTCCTGTGGTATCTCATTCCAGGCAACCACCAACTCCTCTCGAAGTGCTTCTAGAGTCTGAGGAGGACGTTGCAAATTGAGCAATCTCCTACCCATCATATCCCACACGCGCTCAATTGGGGATAAATCGGGAGATCTTGGTGGCCATGGTAACAATGTGACATCATTATGTTGAAAGAAGTCTATTGTGACTCTTGCAACATGTGGTCGGGCATCATCTTGTTGGAAAGTTGGATCTGCCAGGGTGTCAAGATAGGGTAAAAGATGGGGTTCTAGAACTTCGTGGATATAACGCTGCGCGTTCATGTTACCTCTGATGAAGATTAAAGGTGACCTGGAACCATAAGCTATAGCACCCCAAACCATAACTCCAACAGTGTGATGAACATGTCTTTCAACAAAAAACTGTGGATTCCTCCTTTCACCACGTCGCCTTCTAACCTTGGCACGACCATCGTGCATGCCTAAACAAAATCGAGACTCATCACTAAAGACAATACTGTTCCATTCCTGATCCCAGAGCGGCCGTTGTCTGCACCACTCAAGGCGATTACGTCGGTGTTCTCGAGTTAAAGGGAGGACCCAGTGTGGCCGGTATGAAAACAAGCCAAAACTTCTCATTCGTGGGTAAACACTTCGCATGCCAATAAGTCTTCCGTGTTCTGCAAACCATTCATTTGTAATGGACCTGGTAGTGGAGAAACGGTCACAGTGTCTACGCTTCTTTGCACTCTAACTGCAATTGCCCGAAAAGAAAGTCCAGCTTCCCGAAGTCCCACTATATGGCCCCTATCAAACTCGCTATGTTGACGAAATCGTACAGGTCTCCGTACTCTAGGCATCGTAACCGATCGTAAAGGATGTCAAGAACCAAAATCCGCCAACGTTGATTCTTTACTGCGGCTGAAATACTCATTTTTAGAGCGTTAGTGAATTAAAAAAAAGCAGTATAAAAACCGGCATGTCCAACTGATAAGGCTGAACATTTTTTCACTTGTTATGTATAGTAAGATACATTCACCAACTTTTAATAAAATAAAACCATTTAAACTGGGTGTTCGGATTTATATGTCACTTAGTATATATTCAGAGTCCAAAGAAGGCTGGATGCAGTGTCAAATATGTAACATGTGGCCACACAGTAATTGCGACGATGTTGACGATTAACACGAAGACCCTAGTTCATTTGTGAAAGACGTGAAAACATTAAAGTGAATCAGATCAGAAGAAAACTAGCTTTGGACGATACAAAACAAAACTTTAAGAGAAGCAAATGCAAGGGCAGAGCTAAGGGCAAAGTCAAGGGAATAGAAAAAGGTTTGTCAGATGAAGAAAATGAAGATGCACTGTGTTTTTATTGCTCGCATCTATATTCAGAGTCCAACGAAGGCTAGATGTCGTGTCAAATATGCAACATGTGGGCACACAGTCATTGCGATGGTGTTGACGATGAAGACGAATCTCAGTTTCATTTAAGAGCTAGCCGAGTCAACTTAAAACATTAAAGCGAATCAGATCAAAAGAAAACTAGCTTTGGACGATACAAAACAAAAATTCAAGAAAAGCAAAGGCAAGGGCAGAGATTAGGGCAAAGGCAAGGGAAAAGAAAGAGGTTGCACAGTGTTCTTATTGCTTGCATCTATATTCAGAGTCCAACGATGGCTGGAAGCAGTGTCAAATATGCAACATGTGGGCACACAGTAATTGCGATAGTGTTGACGATGAAGACGAATACGCTAGTTCATTTGTGAAAGACGTGAATCTCAGTTTCATTTAAGAGTTAGCCGAGTCAACTTAAAACATTAAAGGGAATCACATCAAAAGAAAACTAGCTTTGGACGATACAAAACAAAAATTCAAGAAAAGCAGAGGCAACGGCAGAGATTAGGGCAAAGGCAAGGGAAAAGAAAGAGGTTAGTCAGATGTAGAAAATAAAGATGCACAGTGTTTTTATTGCTCGAATCTATATTCAGAGTCCAACGAAGGCTGGATGCAGTGTCAAATATGCAACATGTGGGCACACAGTAATTGCGATGGTATTGATGATGAAGACGAATACGCTAGTTCATTTGTGAAAGACGTGAATCTCAGTTTCATTTAAGAGCTAGCCGAGTCAACTTAAAACATTAAAGGCAATCAGATCAAAAGAAAACTAGCTTTGGACGATACAAAACAAAAATTCAAGAAAAGCAAAAGCAAGGATAGAGCTAAGGGCAAATGGAAGGGAAAAGAAAGAGGTTCGTCAGATAAAAAAAAATGAAGATGCACAGTGTTTTTATTGCTCCCACCATATTCAGAGTCCAACGAAGGCTAGATGCAGCGTCAAATATGCAACATGTGGGCACACTGTAATTGCGATGGTGTTGACGATGAAGACGAAAACCCTAGTGCTAGTTCATTTGTGAAAGATGTGAATCTCATTTAGATTTTGTCTTGAACGGCAGTCCGTTTTACTTTCACATGCAGGAAGAACAGACCAAATGATTGGTAATCATCTAATATCCTGTTATTCGTATGTTTTGTTTGAAGTCTAAACAATTCATTCGATAGAATAAGAAATACTTTTTAGTTTTATGATTTGATTTTGTAACTGGTATGACTCTTTTTTCTTAAGTATGCCGTTTTACCTTCCCTTCCCATATAGATACAAATTCAGTATGGTTTACCTATTACCTAGCCAGAACACCTCAATAACTGTTAACGGCAAATCCAAACGTTGTGTGACTTGCATAATTGAGCAAATCGCCGCTAGGCAGACGAGTTTTGGAAAAAATCCACCTTCCCATTCTTGAAATATTTGACTTGGGCGTTGATAAATCCGTGATTTTTGTGTCATTTATGTTTTTTCTATATAGAGTATAACGTTTCGTCTGTTGTCCTCCAGCATCAATTTTATTTTTTTTTATTGACGCCATATTGGATTTTTGCACAGGTCAATAGAGCTTTTAATTCTGATTCTAAAAATGTATACGTCATACATTGACCTTAGTTATTTCAAAAAAAGAAGAATTTCCTAAGTGGGCCGTGAAATTATCAGATAGTTATCTAAATCACTGTTATGTTTTTTCCTACGTTATTTCCGATGGTACTAAACAATAAATTAAATGTCTATTGCCTTGCCAATTTTTATCCCTTACCAGATGGCATAAATAGAATTTCAATATGACTTTTAGGCTCTTGTTTCGTCTGATTTCAGAACTGTAAAATTCTCGTAAGTCATACATTGACACTATCAAACCTTAATTATTATAGAAAAATGGGAGTTCCTAAGGTAGATAAACTTTGAAACTATCAGATTTCATATATGAGACCAGACCTCCAATTGAACATAGCAACAGAGTTTAAAAGACTGAGAAGAAGAGACATAAATCGAGCAGTGAACAATGTACATAGATAAGTCAGGCCTAACGTATTACATTTTGAACATCTGCTATGATTTACTTTTGCTTATTTATGATTATTTATTGTTGTTGTTACCATCAACAAAATTTCACCATACCTCCTTATAGTTTTCATCTAACAAAAAATTCATGGCTAACTAATACATCGCTGAATTTAGGACTGAAAGGTCCATTTAAATGGACTAAATTCAAATATAGCGCCGATATGACAGAACAAAGTTGGTCATGGAAGTCGAAAGAAGAAATGTTGAATTGAAAATTTTACTACGTTATCTTGTAGAGGAGAATAAGTAACTATGACAACATGCAATTTTTTTTTTTGGAATCCCATCTCGAATAAGGTCAGGAAAACATATGACTATCTGATAATTTCAAGGCCTACTTAGGGAATTCAAATTTTTTGACATAACTAAAGTTTGGAAATGCCAATCTATGACGTATTTCTTCATTTTTGGAATCAGAATTAATCACTATATTCATCTGCGCGAAATCAAATATGGGGTCTATAAAGACAAATAACGCTGATGCTGCAGGACGAGAAACGAAATGTCATATTGAAATTCTAATTATGACTTCGCGTAGTTGAGAAAAAATGGCAATTTGTTTTAAAATTCCAATATGTGCTGTTGACAAGTTTTGTATTTTTGTTAGGGTCAAGTTAGTCACCTGGCTAAACTTTGCCTGTTTGTATTTTGCAATGCAATTCTATTGGAACCAAGACCTCGTGATGCTATGACGTTTCTATTTTATTCTGCCCTCCACACTTGAAACTAACATGAGTCAGCATTTTCTTCAGAATCGAGGCTTCCTGCTATCATATCTTCATTAAATGTAGATTCTTTTGACTCTATCACTGTTATGTTTTCTCAATTTTTTTAACATCTTAGAACCGTATCGTCAATCGTTCCTACAATTGTAGGCGCTGTATTTTGAGGTTATGTCACAAATACCTATTTGCATTAAATTGTTCAATATTTTGATTTATATCGCCTCTAATATAGCCTGACATTTTTTTACAAATCAAGAAGAAAACGTAGCCTGACAATAGGAGAGCGCTGAAACTTACACGGAACAGTAGAAATCTAGAAACCCGCCAGCTTTTCTGGAGAAGAGAAAATACTATGAAAATCAAGGAGGTCTTACATGCGTCCTACAATTATTATGTGATTATGTGACATGGATTCAATTATTTAGGGCTCATAACCTGTCTCTTTTATCTGCTCGTTCACGAATATAAAATATGTTAAGAACGAACTTGTTAAACGTGTACAGGCATAAGTGACTTGTTCATAATATGGAAAATATAGAGTGTACATTGAACGATTCTGACATAAATATTAAAATCGTGATATAGTAGAGCCAGTCCACGGGTGTCGGTGATTTATATTAGAGGACCTGGCATGGCAACGGCGTGAAATTGCCATCCAGCAGGCGCTGGCTTTGCTTGAAGCTGATGAAATGACGGTGGGGGAACCACCAGGCGATCTATTTAATAAGCTGACAGCCTTCATAAACGAAACGCGTCCGTCTTCCTTCTTCTAAACAGAGAACCCCCATTCTTGACATTCATAAATCCAAATAACGTATGCCCTAAAAGCTTTGGCACAAACTTCATTGGTTTTACTTTTAACAAACACAAGATAACATGAAGTTGCCTTTGGAAAAAAAAGTTTGCCTACTTACTTTACATAAACATAAAGCGAAATTTGCAGATAAATACTTGTGCGCAATTTCTTATAGGGGAGTATCCCAACCTTTTGCGGGAAGAGTGAGGGGTTGAATAGTCAGAGCCTTATTGATAACTGCCTTTCCAAATTGCTTTAGTTTGTCCACGAATACTAATGACCATATCATGCTTTGGCCAGAGCTAGGATTATGCCATTACTCAAGAGATACCCAAAACTGCCGCAGGCGAATTCACGAAAAACTGAAGAAAGTTGCGTCTGGTAGAGCAGAAAGGGCCATTCCACATAATTCGTTAGTATAGTTTAGTTGAGTGTTGAGTTGTAATTTAAGCAGAAAGTAGAAGGTAATTCCACGAGCTCAAATAAAAATGTTCTGTAATCCTCCAATATGGCGCAGTGAATATCTAAAAAAACACAGTTTGTACGGCATTTGTACAATTTTGAGTACAACACGGATTTTCGATCGCCGATTTCAAATTCTGGGATTGGATGATTCTATGAGGGTATTTGAGAGTCGCTTCAAGGTCACAACAATGATTTGGGGTTGGCTTTCTGCTCGCATAACTTAAGAGTGCTAAAACTGACAAACAACTCAACCAACTCATCTGTAGTTGAAAAACATAATTACTCTTAAGACTGACAGATTTACTGTTGTAATATGTATATCTCAGATAAGTATACTAAGTGACATATAAATCGGAACACCCAGTTTAAATGGTTTTATTTTAACAAAAGTTGGTGAATGTATTTATCTTACTGTAAATAACAAGTGAAAAAATTTTCAGCCTTATCAGTTGGACATTCCGGTTTTTATACTGCTTTTTTTTAATTCACTAACGCTCTAAAAATGAATATTTCAGCCGCAGTAAAGAATCAACGTTGGCGGATGTTGATGTTGACATCCTTTACGATCGGTTACGATGCCTAGAGTACGGAAACCTGTACGATTTCGTCAACTTAGTGAGTTTGATAGGGGCCGTATAGTGGGACTTCGGGAAGCTGGACTTTCTTTTCGGGCAATTGCAGTTAGAGTGCAAAGAAGTGTAGACACTGTGGTTAGGTGTTGTCAGGCATGGCTTCGAGAAGGCCGTACGCAAAGAGCAAGGGGCACTGGACGCCGCCGTAGAACAACAGACCGTGAAGATCGCCGCCTAAGATTATTGGCCTTAAGGGACCGTTTCTCCACTACCAGGTCCATCGCAAATGAATGGTTTGCAGAACACGGAAGACCTATTGGCATGCGAAGTGTTTACCGACGAATGAGAAGTTTTGGCTTGTTTTCATACCGGCCGCACTGGGTCCTCCCTT